TGAAGCAGGGATTTAAATAATCCCCGCTTCATTGACTGTGTCGGGGAAACTACTTTACATGGCTCCGTCGACAGAGCCATGTAAAGCCGTTTACCCGACATAGTCAATGAAGCAGGGATTTAAATAATCCCCGCTTCATTGACTGTGTCGGGGAAACTACTTTACATGGCTCCGTCGACGGAGCCATGTAGTCTAGACACACCCTTTGAGATGGGAAACACTTGGGGGCAGGGACGGGCCGTTCCTGTGGTGGAGCATTAAGCAAAGCAGGAGGGCAGCACAATCTAGAGCAGGAGTTTTCAAACTATGGGTCATGACCCAGTACTGGGTCGTGGAATGTCAGGCACTGGGTCTCATTGCTGCAGTGAGGGGGCTAAGGGAGCTCCCTGCCTGTCCTGGCACCACAGACTGTGCTACACCCCAGAAGAGGGCAGCAACAAGCCCAGGTCCTAAGTGTGAGGGAGAGCGCACAGGGCTCCGTGCACTGCCCCTGCCCCGAGCACTAGCTCCGCACTCCCATTGGCTGGGAAGCTGCTGGCGGCTGCTTCTGGGGCGCAGCATGGTCTGTGGTGCCAGGAGAGGCAGGAAGCTGCCTTAGGCCCCCCCTCACCCCCCACTGCTGCACCGCTGACCGAGAGTCGCTCAACTAAACCTCTCCTGCCCTAGCCCTGACCCCCCCTCCCCAAGCTGGAGCCCCCTCCTACACCTCAAAGCTCCTCCTCAGCCCTACACCGGAGTCCACACTCCAGTCACATTATGTGGTGTCACGGGTGTCAACAATTTTCTTCAACTGGGTCATGAAAAAAAAGTTTGAAAACTGCCGGGGCAGAGGATCAGGGCCAGGCATGGAATTCAGAAGAGGTGTGCTCTGCGCCGAGGCGTGTGGCATTCTGTAAGTCTCTTTATAACTCAGCCTCCATTTCCCTGTCTGGCTGGTCAAGAGACAGTTTTTGCCCTGTCACTCAGTTTGACTAATAGGAAGGCGCCTTATACTGAGGGAGTTTATTTCCATATCTTTGTATCCGTACCTGTGTCCACTCCGGGAGCTTTACTGATTTAATTATATTGCCGCAAAACCCACAACCCCAAGGAAACAATTAAATGGATATAAAATCTGCATGCAGATTAGGTTTTACATTGTGCTGGGTGCCTACATGGAGGGAGACGGTTCCGACCACAGAGAACTGACAAAGCCCCCCTCGCCCCCCCAGAGGAGCCCTCCGCTGCTGTTGTAATACAATTAAATCACAGACAGCATTACAACAAGCCATAAATACTGAATTCCCACAGGAAATTAGGCTCGGAAGTAGCCGCCGTGCCGTGCAACCTGGTGCATTTCAATGGAAATGGGATTATTTTTCTGAAGTCCTAGGGATTCGCTGGGCTCTCTGGAAGGAATATTTCAGCAGTTTCCGAGGGAGGAGGATGGGGAGGCTTCAGAAAAGCAACTCAACCCTTGTTTCCATGTCCTGGCATTTTCGAGGTTCATGTGATCCCCTTTAGCATCCCACTGCCGCTGCCTGGCAGGCTCATACTCCCCAGAAATCCTCCACGCGGCTGAGGGACAGAAGCCCCCCACCCTGAAAGCTGTTCTTTGTTGGGGGACCTCTGAAATCGGTAGAAGCTCAGCACGGCCCACCCAGGTCCCGCCGTCGGGCAGCAGGTTGCAGGACTGAGCCATGAATTGGCTTCCCCACACAGCCAAAAGATTTCCAGCACCATGAAAGCATTTCGTTCTTCTGACTTACAGTCCCCATGAGCCTGGTCTGACCAAGCTTTGCCCTGATGGATCCGTTCTCTGCCATTCCCCTTCAGGAGAATACTTAGAAAAGCTGTGTGAGAACCATTTTCTAGCTAGGTTATAAATGAGCGGTTTTACTAGTCGGCACCTGGGAGACGGTGAGTAGGAGTTTCTGTGAAAATTGCTGGCAAGCAACAGGCGACATTTCTTTTACTGCTTTTATAAACTCCTGTGAACACTTTTATACTGGCCTCAGTAACAATTAATAAAGCCTGTAAAGATTAAAAGAAAAGAAAAACAAGCCAGTTCTCAATACACCTGGCACAAAAAGTCCAGCAGGACCGGCTTCCTACATTCTCCGTGGAAATACTGGAAGGATAAATAATAAAAATAAGCTTCGATTTTAAAAGACTGTTTCATTTCAAAGGAAACCACATTATATATGAGCCAAATCTTACTTAGCATGAAGTGGTTTAGATCCGTTGACTACAGAGGAGAGGCATAAGTGGACGATATGGCTAACTATACAGGACTGAGTGAATGCAACTGCTTCAACCGCTACTGTCTTTGGAAACCAGCAAATGCATAACAGTGATGCACAATATAACAGTACCCCAGCCCGGACCCCCACCAAAAGCTGGAGCCCCCTCCTACACTCCAAAGCTCTCAGCCCCACCCGGGAGCCCACACTTCAATCAAATGATGTTGAATTGCGGGTATCAATGATTTTTTTTTATGAAAACTGCTGGTCCAGAGGATCAGGGCCTGGCTTGCAATGCAGAAGACATGGGTTTTGCTCCAAGGCATGTAACATTCTGCAAGTCACTTTATATTGACCAGGAGCCATTGAGGAAAATGTGGTAGGCAGTAAGGACGGTAGAAAGCATTTATTTTAATAATCGTGTAACCGCAACAATTCCTAGCAGTTACACAGTTACTCGGTGCTCTCACCGGGGGCAGGGCTGCTAGCTAGTACGCTCCTGGCTCCCGGCCCCACTCCCAGGGAACCCCCTACCAATCCCCACTGCTGCCTCTGTATAGGCTGTATGGACTAGAGATATCCAATCCGTCGGTATCAGAGGCAGCAGTGCAGGGCGGTAGGTGGCTCCCCTGCATGCTCTTCATTTAAAACTCAGGCCGGTGGGCCGGGACTGAGCCAGCCTGACAGTCCAAGTTTTAAATGCAGAGGACACAGGAGGTGAGGGATTTTGCAGTTAACCAGGACCGGTAACTGCTAAGCAGTCACTTATTGGTTAGCTGGTTAACTGAGTAGCCGTTAACATCCCTGGTCGCCAGAATTGGTTACCCAGAGTGAAATGTGTAGGCTCTAACCCTTCAAGCACAGCTGTATACGCATCTCCTGTCCCTAAAAGGACATTTACACCAATTCCAGGGCATGCTCAAGATTTGGCTGCATTCTGCCTTATTGTGTTTGCTCTTTTCAGGCAGTATTTGCGCACAACAAACCAGCACACACACACACACACACGCCTAATTTCCAGGGGAATTCAGTATGTATTACTTGTTGTAATGCTGACTGTTATTTATTTGTATGAAAATAGCAGCGGAGGGCTCCTCCGAGGTGGGGGCCCCTTTGTGCTGGGTGCTGAATGCACACGCAGGGGCAGCCCATCCATGTAGGTGAACTAGGCGGTCGCCTAGGGTGCCAAGTTCAATGGGGCGCCAAATGGTGGTGCAATATCATTGAGGGGTTTGGAGGTGGGGGCGCCGATTGCAGGGTTCGCCGAGGGCGCCAGTTGCTGGCAGCTAGTCTAGGGCCGCCCCTGCGTAGGGAGACAATTCTGGCGCCAGTTGCTGGCAGCTAGTCTAGAGCTGCCCTTGCGTAGGGAGACAGTTCTGGACACACACACACACATATCACTTTATCGCACAAAAGACTAGAGCAAAAGAGAATGGGCAGGACCCTCCCCCTTTTGCAATGGGTATAACTCAAGAGTATCCCCACGGCTGGGGGCTGCTGGTGTCAAACGGGCCAGTCACAGCAGAATCTGGTGACATTCAGAAGAGCTCTACCAGCCAGAGCAGCGTTTGCAGTGAAGCGCCACCGCAGCGCCGTCTCCGTCCCGTTGTGATTGGCGGAGGGCGCTCGCTCACACCCCGGCAGCGGTTCCTGAAGCAGCACCGCACCGCTGCCTCACCCAGTCAGCGGGGAGCGCTTGCTGCGAACGGCCCTGCTCTCTGGGCACCTGATCCCTCACTCCGGGCCTGGCTGCCCTCTCGCGGCACCCAGCCCCTGGGAGCAGAGCTGGTATTGACGTGGTCGCTGGAAGCCCCTGCCTCTGCGTATGGCAACTGCAACTCATTGCTGAGGGCGTGATTCCGTCCATGCTCTGTGCCCATCCAGAGCAGAGATGCTGCTGCAGCCAGCAGGTACAAAATGCTCCTTCCCTCACGCTTTAGCCATGCCCACGTTTAGTTCTGCGGGTTCCTAGTTCAACCCCAATGTGTCAGCTAAGAGCAGGGCTGGGCAATAAACGGCCCTTGAGCCTGACACAGTTTGTCAGAATTAGTCCATGGTGGGCTGCCAGACCCTTTATTTACCTGCGCATTCGCAGGTACGGCTGCTCGCAGCTCCTATTGGCCACAGATGGCCATTTCTAGCCAATGGGAGCTGCCAGAAGTGGCGCAGACCGGGACACAGCTTCCCAAAGCTCCCATTGGTTGGAATCTGTGTCCAATGGGAGCTGCAAGCGGCCGTACCTGTGAATGCACAAGTCAATCAAGTGCCCAGCTGCCTGCCAGGGGTTGATCCTGGCAAACCATGTCTAGCCCCTGGGCCGCTTATCGCCCACTCCTGGCTCTGAGGGCGGTTATTGTGTAACTCACACACCTAGCGTGGGTCACTGTCCCATGCAGTGGCACCTAGACCACAGCAACAGATAAGAACAAGCGACCTCTACAGCATGGGCTGAGAGTCAACTGGCTTTTAGCTCAAAAGGAGAGGCTCCTAGACTAAGTTCTAGAGATCCCAAGTTCAAATCCGCCTGGTGGCCATTACGATTGCTCAGCTGTAAACACCAGTAGTTTACTGACATGTTCTATGGCATGTTTATTCTCCAGCCTACGTTACACAGCAGGGCAGACAAAATTATCTAATAAGCTGTATTAGAGCTCCTAGGTGGCCCTCCAGCCTCTACCAAGTAACTTATTCATATCCAATGCAGCAGGTCTGACACTGCACCCAGGAGAAGACTGAAGGCCGCATGCTCCATCCCAACACAACTTATTTAGGACTTACGTCATTAGCTGCGTCTCAACCCCTGGCTCCACCAGGGACCCGTCGACAAAAAGCGGTGTTGACGTGAAGGCATATTTACTCCAGGATGTTCCTTCATCGAAACTCACCCTGGAATCGAAAGAGACCAAGTAAACAAATGTAAAAGGATGGCTCTGGGACTATTAGCTACACAATTAAACAACTTTTAAGGCTTGCGAGCCACCGCTGCTGGATTTATAAACAAGTGTCAGTCTTTGCTATCTCCCCATGTCATTAATTAATGTTCTACAAGTGCTGGGAGGAAGCAAAGTGGCAAGGGTTATTATCAAAGTCATTAAAAGCTTAACTTAGGGCTGCCAATCTTCTAGGACTGTCCTGGAGGCTCCAGGAATTAAATATTCATCTTTAAAGATTATGTCATGTGGTGACACATCTAGGAAGGCATCCAACCCAAAGTGGCATCCCAGGCCAACGTTTGCTGTGTCATCACCGGGTTAGACCCAAGACAGCGGTTGGTATCGCCAACATCCATTGTGGTGTGTACGTCCAAAACATTCATTGTGGTAGGTGAAAATACACAGCCTCAAATGTGGTGTTGTATAACCCGGAGTTAAGAAAGATGGCTTCCTTCACCAACTCTGCCACAGACCCATGGTGAGTCACAGCCTTTCTGTGCTTTTGTTCCCCCTCCTCAGTAAAATGAGGCTGTGAGTACACATCCCTCTCACTGGGTGTTTGTGGGGTTTAATTAATTAATATTAGCAATGGGCAGAAGGAGCAGGCTAAACACTGAACCAAATTCTCTTACTACATCTTTGCAACTTGGACGTCAATGGGGCTGCATGGGGGACCTTCATCTGGGGGAAAATGGAGTGAGTCAACTTAATTTCAACAAACGTCCAGCCTGGAGAGCAAACACATTCAATCGCTACTGCTGTGAGGCGCTACAGGGCAGTGGGCCTGGCCATTGTGTAAGGTGGCGCTGTTCATTTTACAGATAATTCAGAAAATGAGAAAGTTTTCCTTTGCTCCTGGAGTCTTTATGCAACTGTTCCAGGAGGGTTTCTGCTCGGCAAGTTATCCCAGAATCCCACCTGCCAAGAAAAAAACAGCAAACACGCAAGCTTCCTGGCCCTCGACCGATTAAATACCCTTCCAAGTGGGTCATTTCAGAGCTGTCTGCAGTTGAGGCAAGTCCAGAGCTGTGAAACCTGATAACCGATGGGCACTGCCTAAAGGATGGACAAGGCACAATACCTCCTCTGGTCGACAGGAAATTGTTTCTTATTTCAAAAGGGAAGAGAAACTTGTTCTTCCGTCCGTAGGGGCTAAAGGGGGGAAGGGGGGGGTTGTTCTCCAAAACTCTGATTTCTGCAATGCCGAGTCAACAGCATTTTATAAGGTAAATTGAGGTATTTATGAGGTAAACGGGTCAGTGTGTGAGTTTTGTGCCCCGTGGTGCTCTGTTCATGGAGGAGAAGGGATCTCATCTACCAGTCCTGGCTCACTGGCTGCCGCTGTGCAGACTACAGCTCTTAGGGTATGTCTAGACTACAGGGTTTTGTCAACAGAAGTTTTGTAGACAGATACTGTCGACAAAGCTTCTGTCAACAAAGAGCGTCTAGACTACAGCCAGTTCTGTCGACAAAGCAAGCCACTTTGTCGACATAACAGTGTGGACGCAAAGGACACTGTATATGCAATAATGCCTTCTATCGACAGAACTCTGTCGATAAATGGCATTATTCCTCGTAGAATGAGGTTTACATACGTCGACAAAACTGCTGAGTTTTGTCGACGTTATGTCAACATAACTCAAAGGCAGTGTGGACACAGGTATAGTCTTGTCGACAAAAGTCCAATTTTGTTGACAAAACCCTATAGTCTAGACACACCCTTAGAGGAGGAGGTCACTGGTTCTAACCTGAGGTGGCAGCCATGACTCTGATCCTTTTGAAGGGAGATGCCACACTTGAGCTAGAGAAGAGGGGCGGAATGCTCTGTTCCTTTCAGTCCATAATGGACCGTGTCGAGCCCTGGGTTTCTCTCTCAGCGTCCAAGCAAACTCCCACGGCAACCTGCACACGATCTCCACCAGGTGAGTGAGCAGGACATGGACAGACACGGGCTCTGCCCAGCCTGAGTTGTGGGGTTTGGTGGAAGGGGTTGGGAGGTGGTGCGACTCCTTCCCACTGAGGCCAGTGAGGAGCCGGATTGACCATGGATGATTTGCTTCTCAGGCTCTCCTAGGAGTCCAGTCATGGGGCAGGATGCCAGCAGGGCAGGTGCTGTGCTGCTACGTTGACAGCCGGGGAGGAAGGGACAGCACCCAGCCTGCACCCTGTTACATGGAAGCCCAGGGCTGCTGAATTGCATCACATCCCACATTCCCGCACAGAAGATGGCACATGGGCCTGGTCCAAAGTCAAGAGTCTTTCCATCGAATCCAAAGGGCTTAGGATGAGGCCCTAGTAGCATCCCTCCCAGGAGCCAGGCCCCACAGTACCCACAACTCCCAACGTGAGCTCCTCAGCTCCTGCTCCCCGCCCTACAGCTGAGCCACACTGGTTCCAGTGACCCTGTGGAAACGTAGACGGGTGGAGCAGATTTATCCCCAAGAGGTACATTACCAAGACCTGCCCCTTAGCATGACAGGTGCACCCTGCCACAGCTGTACACAAAACAGCCTCCCCCAGACCAAAGAGAAAATGCCGTGGGATGTCTGCATGCAAAGAGCTTCTCCTTCAAAAACTCTATTTATTGAAATGTATGTACCTTCCCATAGCCTTGTGCATTTGTGTGCTGGTCTGTCTGCCTGCTTGCTGACTTTGGGGAAACAGCAAGTTTCATTAGATTAGCTCAAGTTCTCTCTGCTTTTTCAATAATCAAACTCTCTTTTGTCCAGGATGAGCCTTATGGTACAATGTCCCAGTTGGAGAGCTAATAGATTTCCAAGCTAATCAAGATGGCTCAGGGTGCTTATTGAGTCGAGATGATGCATGTTTGAAAGCCCCAAAATGGTATCATTTGGAAGGACCCGTTAGAGTTGAAAAAATGACTGCTCTAAACAGCTGTGCGGTAGAGTAGGCCAGACAGCCACAGGCAGTAGCATGAGTCAAATTCGATGTGAAATTGCTTGTGTGGGGAATCTTCTGAGGCAGAAAGGGCAGTTGGGCAGGTGACCGCTATTGATCCCAGCATGTGCCCCAAATTCCTTGGATGAATCGGTGCACAACCAAACATTTGCCCATGCACCCGGCCACAGGAAGGCAGGGCAGGACGGGACTTCCTGGGTCATCAAGTCCTGTGTTTGCCTTGGCATACCCATCCAGCGATCCAGCTCCATATTAAAATTAGTCAGGGTGTTGCCACCACTCTCCCTGTGGAGAAGCTGAAATTAGTCAGGGTGTTGCCACCACTCTTCCTGTGGAGAGGCTGTTCCAGAATCTCACTCTTCCAATGGTTAGAAACTCCAGCCCAAATGTATTCATGGCCAGTTTATCCCCGTGTGTTCTTGTGCCCGCATTGTCTTTCTGTTTCAACACCTCCCTCCTGCCAGTTTATCCCCGTGTGTTCTTGTGCTCGCGTTGTCTTTCTTCTTCAACACCTCCCTCCCAGGCACTAGCTCAGAATCTGATAGCCTCTCTCTCACTGAGTAGCACCTCCCTCAGCAAGACCATGGGAGCTGTCACAGAATGAGGGACTGCCTGGACTAATGGTTGGAGGCTAGATCCACCAAAGGCTATTAGCCAGCATGGGCAGGAATAGTGTCCCTAGCCTCTGTGTGTCAGAGGCTGGAAATGGATGACAGGAGAGGGATCGCTTGATGATTCCGTGTTCTGCTCATTCCCTCTGGCCACAGGCAAAGGGTGTTCTGCTCATTCCCTCTGGCCACAGTCAAAGGACACAATACTGGGCTAGATGGCCCTTTGACTAAGTATGGCCGTTTTTGTGTTCTTACACACGATACTGAGCTAGATGGCCCTTTGACTCAGTATGGCCGTTTTTGTGTTCTTAAGTTATGCTATCCAGGAAGCGGTTAGCTAATTTATAAGGGGTTAACAAATAACTAGCAGACATGTCAATAAAAATTAATCGCTAAGAATATGTCTAGACTACATGCCTCTAGACATCTTATTGCACATCCACATACCGATATTTAAATATCCCCCGCTTCATTAAAATAAAAATGGCCACTGCGTTGTGCCGGCTCAGCTGTTTGTCGGCTCAAATCAGCAGTCAAGATGGGGATTGGTCGATAAGGAAAGCCATTGTCGACCGATCCTGTAAATCTCGTTTCACAAGGCATAAGGGATCGGTCGACAACAGTTTTCCTTGTTAACCGATCACTATCTTGACTGCTGCTTTGAGCCGACAAACAGCTGAGCCAGCACAACGCGGCGGACATTTTTATTCTAATGAAGGAGGGGATATTTAAATCCCTGCTTCATTGACTATGTCGATATGTCTAATTTACATGCCTCTGTCGGCAGAGGCATGTAGTCTAGACATACCCTAAGGCTTTGTTTATACTCCTGGCTTTACCAGAAGTGCCTATGTCAATGAAGCGTGGATTAGCATATTGCGGTGCTTCATTTGCATAATTTATTCAAGCCATTTTTGCACAAAAATAAGCAATATGGAGGGGGGGTTGTGAAAACCCCTGTTTTTGCGTCAAAAAAGTCCACACTGCTTGCTTTTGCACAAAAATGGCTTGAATAAATTATGCAAATGAAGTGCAGCAATATGCTAATCCACACTTCATTTGCATAGGCACTGTCGGCAAAGTTGGCAGTATAGACATAGCCTCAGGCTACGTCTAGACTACAAAGAAAAGTCAGAAAAAGATACGCAAGAGTGCCAATGATCAGGAGAGAACGGGTCTCTCATTCACAGGAAAACAGGAACCTCAGCACGGAAGACGATTTCTGTTTCATTTCCTCCCTCACGCTGCAGAAGTTGGGCAGGCCAGACCTTGAGTGGTGCTCCAGTGCCTCACACAATCCAAGACAGAAGGTAACGCCACGGTGGACAGCTGTCAGCAATTCCACCTCCCGACTGCAGGCCCTGAGCCTGCTGCCCCCACACGTCCACAGAGCAAGTGCACGCTGTGATGTGCACTGCATGTAATTAATGGATGTCTGTTTAATCAAAAGTTCAAAAGGAGACATTCGGGATCATGGTTTGAAAATATATGAACCCTGATGGCCGCTTGTCATGCGTATCTCTTGGTGGAAGGACAGGCGGGGTATAAAGTTCTGATCAGGGCTGAGGACAGACAGAATGGATCCCTAGGAAAGATGGAGGTTCTGGCTATGGGTCCTCCTAGAAGGGGCGGAGCCTCAAGTGGAAGGGGCGGAGCCCCCCCGCCAGTCTTCTTTGCTGCTTCTTTGATGCCCGGACCATGTGAACAGGGGCTTTGGCAGCAATTTAAAAGGGCCTGGAGCTGCGGCCTTTTAAATAATGGGCCCTGGGGAAGTTGCTCCCTTTGCACCGCTCCATCGGTGGCCCTGGTTCTGTTCCATATTCCCCTCACCCAAGTTCTGGTGGATGTTCTGCACTAGAAGCCTGGCTTGCCTCATCGTAGCTTCTATGCACTGGGATGCTGAGCACCTTGAATTCCTGTTCATCTTAGGTGGAGCTGAAGAAGCTCAATCTGTTACAGCATCAAGCGCGGGAGTCATATGGGCCAGCTGAGAAGTTCAAACCTACATCCCAACGCCTACACCCCAATGCCCCCACCTGGTAGGTGGAGGAGCTGGTTTGGGTGGAGTATCCAGAGCATGGGCTTCTCAAACATCTTTAGAGTCAGAACAAAGTCATAGAACATAAGAACGGCCGAACTGGGTCAGACCAAAGGTCCACCTAGCCCAGTAGCCTGTCTGCTGACAGTGGCCAGCACCAGGTGCCCCAGAGGGAGTGGACTGAAGACAATGATCAAGCAATTTGTCTTGTGCCATCTCTCTCCAGCCTCTGACAAACAGAGGCCAAGGACACCATTTTATCCCCTGGCTAATAGCCTTTTATGGACCTAACCTCCATAAAATTATCCAGCTTCTCTTTAAACTTTGTTATAGTCCTAGCCTTCACAGCCTCCTCTGGCAAGGAGTTCCACAGGTGACTATGCGATGTGTGAAGAAGAACTTTCTTTGATTAGTTTTAAACCTGCTACCCATTGGTCATCTTGAACAAAGCGATCGTCTCACCTACTCACCCCACGCTCCCGATCCCATTTGGGTTCACCAGTCTCTCTCTGGCAACTGCAGCAATATCACAAAAGCAACAAGGAACACTAGCAAACTGTCTTCGCATTCCCGTCAGTCTGTAGTGAGGCAAATGCGCTACCCTTTTTGCATCAAGTCAATTATCCTATCTCCTTCTCCCATCGGATCCTCCTCCCTTTGCTCCCCCACCATCTGGTAATCCTTCCTTTCCTCCAGTGCTCCCATGCACCTTTTGTCCATCCTCTTGGTCCTCTTCATTATAGCCTGCAAACCCTTCTTCCTGACTCCACTGCCGACACAATTAAAAAAGTATCCTTTTGAGTCATCTCCTGCAGCCACTGGCCAAATGGTGCTTGGATGTTGCAACCAGTGAGGCTGAACGGGTAGGAAATCAATCAGGGAAGACTGTATCCCTAAAAGCCAGATGTTCAAAAGAGCTCAGCTCCCAACATGATGTTTGTTTCTTGTTTTAAATCTGGTCACTTACTTTGACACCTAAAGGTGTGTGAAACTGGTTGGAAAATGTGACTCAACGTATCTAACGTGGGAGGCCTCACACATCCTTTGAAAGCAGCTGAAGGACCAGCTGAAGGTCCAGAAAAATCATGTGATTCCCCAGCCTTCTGTGGGCCACCACAGAGTCCTGCAGATGATCACAGTTGGAGAGTTACTTCTCGAATAGCTCCGTAAGAGATTATTCAATCATTCCTTAGTCTTCTGTTTATTGCACATCCAGCAGGAGGGAAAAGGATCCACCCCAGAACTGAGAGATCTTAATTATATTTTGGACAATTCTAGTTTGCCCCCCACCCCACCAGAAAACTTTCTCAAAGCAGGGGAAACAACCTTACCACAAATGCCGGATGGGCATGGAAGTGTGCTTCATGGCCACAAGTGCCCCTCCCCAGTCAAGATACCACACATTGTATTCTTCCTCGAAGATCTAGAAACAAGTCAGGTAGAATGTGAGTTTTTCAAGCATTAGAGGCTCAAAGAGTAGGTTTTCAAAAAGTACACAGCTCCCTTCTCCCCCATCTGATTGTACCTGTCTCCATGAGTTTCCGGCATCAGAAGATATGAACGTGCTGATGTCGGTATATGAGAGTTCAGAGCCGATGTTGCCTGAAACACAAGTGAGTTTCGTAAGCTTTTGTGTGGCAAGAGGGAGAAATTTCCATTTTTGCAGGAATCAGGAGTAACTGGTTTAACCAATGGTTTTGGTTGTCGTAATTCCAGGCTCGTATGGCAACACCATGGGACAGATGGGAAGATTAAGATATGAGATCATTGCAAATAGTAAGACAACAAAATGTTTTAAAGTCAATAGGTGGAAAAGACTGCTTCCCTGGCCTGCTTTTACTTCTAGTGGCACTGCATGCATTTGCAACAACTCGAGATACACATGTCTGGACTGCTTCATGTTAAGGCCTACATTTTTAGGAAAGCACAAACACAACTGCATGCCTGTTTTGTACCAAATTTGTAGTTGCGACATCTGTGCATGCGAATCAGATAATCATTTGCACGCACATTTTTTTTTAAATATAGTGCCTATGCTAAAGCTGATGAGTTTGCATTTGGGGAGCCTCTGCATTCTCCTAGTCTTTGTAAAACATTGACATGGACACATTTAATTCTCCCTATCACTATTTATCATGCAAAGTCAAGTGAAAAGGCAGATTCACACCACTCAAATTGAATTATTCATACTGCCTTTGCCTCATTAGAGCTGGAGTTCAGGGGTGAAATTCTGGTGCCACTGGAATCAATAGTGTCACTCCCACTGATTTCAGTGGGGCTAAGATTTCACTGCATGATCCTTCCAAAAAAAACCAACTCATGGATCTCAGAAGCCATGCGTCTAGCAAAGAGCACTTCCTGTCTTTTTGAGTAGCAGCTTACGGTGAAGCCTAACAGATGTGGCTCATGATGACACTACAAATGTCTCCCCGTTAACAGTTGGCCTGTTTCCAATATGAACTATATCTTGGTGGAGCTAGGTTTCAAAGTATGACCCAGGGCCATACGAAGTGGCAGACATCGCAGAAGGTAACAATGATCAGACCACAGCTAGGTCTTCAACAATGGTGACTGTTCTTCTTGATCAGAAATGGGGCACATTGTCGCATTAGCAGAAATGGATAGGTTTGGCCAGGGTGCATTTCTGTTTTGTTAATTCAGTGAGGACAGAGACTGCCACACCAATAGTCCTGGACACAGATGTCTTCTGCTTGTCCAAAGTAACATAAGTTAGTTGCCCTCCCTCCCCACTCCTCTGGGTGAGTCATCTTCCAGGGTAAACTTTCTGTTCAGATGCCACACGGTAAATGGCTTTCCTACCAACTCTGCCAACAAGCTTCCCAGCCTTTGCTAGGTGAGGTTTCTGTAACATAGACGTCTGTCCCTGTCATGATCATGAGAGATGGCCAGCAGCCTGGGGACTGAGGGGTTAACTATGTCCCTTATCTAAGCCAGGTAGAGTCAGCCAATAAAAGTGCAGATAGGGATTTCAAACTGGGACAAAGGAAATTTTGGGTTTTTCCCTCCTTTGATGTGGGACAGTTTCTCTCCAGCCACTGAGAGGGACAGATATTATGTCTTCCCTCCAAGAAGGCACTCTTCACTATCCCTTACCAGCTGTCTGGTCACTCCTAGCATGGGTGGGACTGGGATTTGAACCCATCACTGTGTGCTCCTGAAGTGAATGCCCTAGCCCCTAGGCCACACTGCTCCTCTGTACCCTCAGTGGGCCCCTTGTCCGGCTTTCCAAATGCAGGATCCAACTCCATCCCTGAGCCAGCCTTCATTAGCTGCCCAGCTACTCCCACCTCTGGGCTCCCCAGGTGAATGCTCGATCCTCTAGTCCACGCCACCTCTCTTCCCAAGGATCCCTTATCCTGCCTTCCTATATATAGGAGCCAGCCCCATCCCTGGAGTAGCCTGTGTTGGCCAACTGTAAGTAGAGTAAAGTTTAGATAAATAAACTAGGTTTTATTGTTTTATGGGTTGGGAATGGGAATCTGTTGTCTGACCATTTAAAAATGGGTTTTCCTCTACTTTGTAACTAAGCTCTTGGCCCATGCAGGGTTCCCCCATGAGTGTATTAATTTGTGACTTTTCCATCTAGTCCAGTGGTCCCCAAAGTTTTGGGGCTGCCGGGCACCTGGAGGCGGGGCCGCTCACGCACTGGGCGTATGGGGGGGGGGCCGCTCACAGGCCACGTGACTGGGGGCGGGGCCAAGCATGCGCCGCACACCCAGGGCTGGCACCGGCACGCGCTGGGCGTATGGGGGCAGGGGCCACACATGCACCCGGGGCTGGCACCTGCCGCACGGCCGGGGGCGGGGCCAGCCCAGATTGCTCCGCGGGTGCACATAAATGGCCCGGCGGGAATCATGGCGCCTGGCACTGTGTTGGGAACCACTGATCTAGTCACTATGCTTGCAACAGGAATATTGTGGTGATAATAAAAGCTCTTTCTCTTTTCTTTTTATTAACCTGGTATTGGTTAATTTTTGTATTCTGGTTTTACTTTTGGGGCTGAGATTTCCCAAGTAGTCTGTCCCTGGTTTCTTTATTACTTGGGTAGTGGCAGTGGATCATTTTATCCTCAAAATCTAGATTGTTAAGATTTTGGGGGGAAGCTTTATACCAAAGCCTTGTAGATAAGATAAGGTTTTGGGGTACTTTTGAGAGCCCCCACTTCTGCATTTATCATGCCAGAGTGGAGAAAAAGCCTTGACAGTCCCCAAAAAAGTAGACTGAGGGAACTAACCACAGAAAGGCCTTCAGATGGAAATGACTCACAGACAATATAACTCTGTTTGGGATTGAACCAATGACCAATGGATGAAAGACTCCACAGCACATTCCTTATCCACTGATGCATAAAACTCCCTCTCTCTACAGCTAAGGTATTTTTAAATTAGGGAATAATTTCCCTGATGTTTTGTTCTAAAGGAGCTACTATTTTTCCTCAAAAAAAGAAAAAGTAAGAAGGGAAGATTTGCTCCTACACATCTGTGGCTCAATAGGAGCACAATAAAAACAGCCTAATGAAAATGTTAATTGCACTCCTGACATTTAATGATGGAAAACAAGGAATTAAAGCCCAGATGCATCTTGTCAAGCACCCATCAGCATCAGAGTGTATATAACTAGCCAAGTTGTTGTGACACTCCTGTTTCCAAAAATAAAAGCTCAGGATCAGGGTTGCACCTGATGTAAAGTGATTCAAGAAAGGTTTCATATTGGTATTAGGCACACAGAAACTGCCACCCTCTGATAGTCCTTTGGTCCACCTACTCCATTGTCCCTTGACCTCCAGGTGTCATCAACACTACCTGCTTCAGCTGAAAGTACAAGAAATTCTGCAGTAGGCAGTTTTGGGCTGACCTGCCCATAGGGAAAGTTTCCTCTTCACCCCCATGAGTTAGAGGTTGGCTTCTGCTCAGCAGATTGAATTTCAAAAGCCTGCTTTTTATCTCTAAGCTGCAAGGTCTGGAAACCAACCATCCAACTGGGGTTTATAGCTGGTGGCAAAGTGAAGGGAGTTCTTGCTTGCTGGAATTCCATCACAACCATTCCCAGCTGTTGCCCAATGTCATGAATCCCCTCCTTTCTCCCTTGGGGCATGATCCACCAAAATCAACAGAAAGACTTCCATTGACTTCAAAAAGATTTGGATCAGCATGGAACTACACACTAATATGCGTCTCTTCTCTTTTAAAGAGTCAGACCAATGCTCTCCTATCTAGACTAGCACTCCCACCATTGTTCCTACTGGTGGAGCTGGCGCGCCGGTTGTGAAAGAGTGGTAGATTTCCCAAGGAAGCATAGCAAAGACAAGACCTAAGGGAATACATTTGTGATGCGTAATTTGGATTGTCTGTGCTGATACAGACCAGCTGGTGACAGAGGTTAACAGAAACAGATGTGCCAATTCCCACCAGGTTAAGCCTTTTATTTCACAAGGCAGCAACACAGAAATGATGGTTCTGCCTTTTAAAGGTTAATTGTTATACAAGCGAGGCTTTCATTGCATGCCGTGACAGCTTGAAAAGAATCTCATTGTCTAGTAATCTAGACCATTGCTTAGAATCTCATTCTCTTGCTGCCTCTGGCATCTGATCTGCCTCCTAGAGAATTCAGTAATCAAAAATAAAGGCCACCGTTAAGAACTATATCATGAGCCATGACGGCTTGTATACACTCTCTGTGGGGAGTGGTGGGCTGCCAGCCCTTGACAGTTCAATTTGGTCCCACATCACAAAGTTGGGATCTTTAACCCAAATTACCTGAACCTCTTTGATCCGGAACACTAAGCTAGAAATCTTGAAAGAATGTTTTGCAAAATATACAGTACCTTCCGTGCTAGAAGTCAGGCCATAACTACTACAAGAGCAAGCTGTCTCACAGGATTTTGGTTCAATTTCCAGGGCCGGCTGGACTATAGATGCACGTAAGTGCATGAGAATGGTAAGAAACAGAAAGAAGAAAAGAGATGGCGTTGAGCCAACATCTCCTAACTCAACTTCCTGGAGTTGTGGGGCATATGGATGGAATTCTGAATTGTGTGCATTGACCCAATCTACCTAAAGGTTGGTTCCTTTTGAATTTAATCCCTTCGCAGTTGTGCTGGCTTTGCTTTACCTTTGGCCAGGATGGGTAGGAAGGGTGTCCCTAGCCTCTGTTTGTCAGGGGCTGGAAATGGGGGACAGGAGATCATTTGACTATCAACTGTTCTGTTCACTCCCTCTGGGGCATCTGGCATTGGCCACTGTCGGCCGACAGGATACTGGGCTAGATAGACCTTTGGTCTGACCCAATAGGGCCGTTCTTATGTTTCAGAGGGGTCGTCAAGTTAGTCTGTAACTGGAAACACTTAAAAAACAACAAATAGTCCAGCAGCACCTTAAAGACGAACAAAATATGTAGATGGTATCATGAGCTAACCTGCCCAGGCACTCATTAAGGGTATGTCTGCACTAGCCCGTTAGTTCGAGCTTGGTAGGCAAATGAGAGCAACCGGAATTGCAAATGAAGCTCGGGATTTAAATATCCCGGGCTTCATTTGCATCTTCCCGGGTGCTGCCATTTTTAAATCCCCCTTAGTCCGAACTCCGTGCCCGCGGCTACACGCGGCTACACATGGCACGGAGTTTGGACTAAGGGAGATTTAAAAATGGCGGTGCCCGGGAAGATGCAAATGAAGCCGGGATATTTAAATCCTGGGCTTCATTTGCCACTCCTGTTGCCCTCATCTGCCCCCCCTCCCCATTGGCAGGCCTGACAGTGGCAAAGCGTTACACTTGAAGAGGAGGGTACACCTTACTAAGAGACAATAGGTCATGACTAACCAAGGTGGAAGAACTGAAACCAGAAAAAGTTTAAAAACAACAGATAGTCTAGCAGCACCTCAAAGACTAACAAAACATGTAGATGGTATCATGAGCTTTCGCGGGTACAGTCCACTTCTTCAGATGAATGGAGTATTAAAAGTCCAGGTTAGGCCAATTCCACAAGCCAAATACACAGGGAAGCATTGCAACTTAACTTCATTTACAAATTTGGGAGCCATCACAAAGACATTACCTGGCTAGCACACTACCTTCCACATCCTAATGACTTAACCAACCAAACAATGGGTACTTAAGAACAATTTGCACCTTCTTTATCAGCTTCTTGTAACATGAACACTCTAATTCGCTATTTTTTCCACTTCCTTCTCCCACAGTTCACCCGCATGCCATATCCCCTACTTATTTTGGAACTAGACTTTTAATACTCCATTCATCTGAAGAAGTGGGTTGTACCCATGAAAGCTCATGATACCATCTACATGTTTTGTTAGTCTTTAAGGAGCTGCTGGACTATTTGTTGTTTTTTAAGTTTTTCTTCTGTTCAAGTACAATAGGGTCCTGATTTCATCCAACCTCTGCCCCCAAAATAAAACAAAAACTCAGACACACTTCCTTGTATTACCATCTGTGGCAAAAATAACACATGGTCTGGTTGCACTTTATAGACTAACAAAACATGTAGATGTTATCATGGGCTTTCGTAGCTACCCTCTGTGGCAAAAATTGTCCCTTAATAGGAAGAGGTGGAGGCAAAGTATGAGAGCAGCCCCAGACCTCCATGGTCTGTAGTGCTGAGGAGTGAGTGAGTGAGTAGGACCCTCAGCAAATTCACACTGGTGAGGTGCTGAAATGAAACAATTCTAAATCTACAATTAACAGCTTAATAGCTGCTCAGGCTATAACAGCCAGAAAAAAAATAGCACGAACCTACATGATGGACAGACTGTGGAAGCTATTGCAATGCATCGGTGTAGAAATGCTATGGGCCCTTACTCCTCCGAACAACCCTATCACAGGCAATGGGACTACGCAAGTGAGGGAGTATGGACCAGCGTCAGGGAATGTTCCACTCTGAGTCGCTAGGGAAAAAGTTCACCCAAGTGCTAGCAAATGTGTGAAATGACGCGGCAGCTTTTCCTACTGCATTCGCAAGCTCTTCCCAGCGACAGTCGTACCAAAACCACTTTGTGATCCCCAAACAGTTCCCACAGAGCTAAGCACTGTGGGAGCTTCCCGTGGGGTGGAGTTTCTAGTCCGTCCTGATGAGGCCACCTACTGTGAGCAGACAAGTGCAAACAAAAAGGGGCCGCGATGGTTGTCAGATGAATTGCGATGGGTCGGCCGATCGGTGGCATTCAAGATTCCAGCAGGCTGTCATAAAAGCCTTGCAATACGCCAAAACCAGGCTTCACAGAACAGTACAGGGCTACCACACAGAATGCACCAGCTGGAGCCAAGGTATCTCATGAAAGAAAGTCTCTGTAAACCTCTTACTTCCAAAAATAGCTTCTGAGTTGCACTGGGACAGATCCTCCACTGGTCATTTAGGCTAGCCAAAAATCTGGCCCAGCATGTGACCCCGATTATCCACTGACTCACCTGGAAAATAACTCTTGAAAGCCAGTGGCACTGCATCAGTGTAAATCAGATGCAAAGAAGAGAAGAATGAGGCTGGTGGGCATATTTACATCCTCACCCAAGCACACAAACACATCACATATGGACAGGAACAGGCACATCACATTCAGGCCGCTGATACCCACCTGAAAAACTTCACAGCAATGTGACAAAAGACATTTGTCACATTTCTTGTCAGCCTCCTGTCACAAATCCATACCTCTCCCCCGAGAAGATAATCTTTGACATTGCAAACCACTGAGCAGCTAAATGCAGCAGCAATTTAGTAGCTTCCCAGGAAGGTGTCCAGTTAAGGCCTGGCTGAACAGGGTGAAAGCACAAACAAAATCGATACCTGTGGCCACCACAAGCCCCGGAGCCGTCTCCTTGCTGGAGATGCTTCCTGATGTATATGGATTCTCGGAGATTTGCAAATGCAGGTGCAAGGAACAAAAGGGCTGCAGAGGGGAGGAAGCAGAGAAAATAAACTTGAATACACCAAGCCCAAGATCAGAGAAAGAGCAAGCTATTGGCTTTTTAACTTGGGGCTGGCTAGTTATAACGAGTACCTTCTCCAAACGATCCTCTCTACCATGGGTCAGGAAGAAAGGTGTGCAGGTTATGTTGTGTATATCCCGCCCCTCTGCCCCCGCAAATAAATCTCACATGTGGGCAAGAGGAATCATTCTGCTGAATCACATGGAGAGGAGTTCATGGCTGGGTTTCGTTGCTGTTTTTAAAAAAAATCAATATTTTGATCTCCTGCCAGTCTCAGATCTTTTTCAAATTCTCTGGCCTGCGCTATCAGACTGAAAGATAACGATGGTCCTGCCTGGCTTTAAACTCTATGAATCTCTGAAACAGAAACTGACTTACCTTCCTTAGGGTACGTCTACACTGCAACATTATTTCAAAATAACTAGCACTATTCTGAAATAATTCAGTCCGCATCTCCACAGCCGGCAGTTATTTCAAAATAGTGTAAAAATACGGTCAAGCTAGAGGACTTCTTACTCCTGTAACCCTCATTGTACGAGGAGTAAAGGAAGTCAGAGGAAGAGCGCTCTACTTTGAAATAAGTGCTGTGTAGACACTCCCTATTTCAAAATAAGCTACGCAATGGACATACGCTCAATGTGCGTCGCTTATTTCGAGTTAAGCCCTGTTGTGTAGACGTAGCCTTAGTGCCCAACAGCCCAAAAAGAAACAGGCACCAGATAGAGAAACACTGCAGACCTGATTCCTTTCAAATATGTAAGTCCAGACCCTCAGCTTGAGCAAATCAATGTGGGTTCACTACTGCAGCAGAACTTCGGTTTACACCAGCTGAGGACCCAGCTGCCATGTTGGGTTCTATTCTGGAGCACTGGGCCTGTAGTTCTCATGCTGGCCAGAAGGCCACCGGCTGCTGTGGGGGTATTGCCTGCATGGGGGCTCAAGGACAAAGCCCCGAATGGTTCGTCAATTGCACGCTGGAAAAGTTCTGCCACTGACCAGCTGACAGCGCATGGGATCCCCTCTCAGATCAGTGTCAGGAGCCTGCAGCAAGCGCCAGTCTCTGCCCTTGTTGTAGGTGATGAAAGTCTTTATCTGGTCCTCGATCTTCTTGTTCGCCAGGAATATGCCTTTGATCCCTGCTACCTAGGAAAAATGGAGAGAGATGAAAAACCACGTCGGGCGAACAGGCGAGAATGAGGCTCTGTTCGGGATTCCCACGCATGCGAGCGCTCTGAGAAACAGATCGCTCAGCCCACGCAGCCGGGAGAAGAACAGGAAAAGAATCAATTGCACTATTTATAATGAGGGAAAGGCTGGAGTCTGTCTACATGGTTAGCCAGGGTCCCTTGCAGTGGGACTGTTACAATCTTAATCTGCAAGAGGAAGGCGGGTTAAGGATTCTCCGGAAATCCAGGCCCCTTGCAACGTACCCACTGTAGCCTACTAACCGTTATCTGCTTTATTTCGGCCTACAAAAATGATATTTGCTTTGTTTTAGTTAAATAATAGCTTATTATTTTATCTTTGTTTTCCTTTATATAGATTTAAACATGCTAGTAATGCAAGGGGCTTACAGAATTCAGTTTCTGCAAGATGGCTGATGGCAATATATATAAGTAGTGAAATATATGCCTCGTCTTTGACATTTTCCATAAAGGGGTGAAACAAGAGTTTGCGGTTGGCACAAGAATTTATTTTTTGAATCCTACCCGGAATTTATTATATAAATCTGCTAACATAGCAATAACCGACACTGTGGGCAGGGCGGGAACTTTTGAGAACACAATGAGGACTGTAAGTTTAGCCTTGGACAAAGTGTGTAGGGCAGGCTACAAACAGGGCAGGGCAGTTTGGTGGGGACCTAGAAAAACTTCTCTCCAGGAACTGTCCACCAACAGGAACGTGAAGGGTGCTCTGCTGGGCAATTTACCCTGCAATCAGAGGAGTGAATGCCTTAGACACAGCCTCTCTCCTGTGCATGGGGAGGAGAAACCGCTCTCTCACAGGAGAAAAGATCATAGGGTGACTTATATTGGAGAAAAGCGACTGCCTGGCAGAGCAGCCGACATCAGCGGATGAAAGATTGAGACTGGTTTGGAAAATCCACGGGGGAATGAAACGCTCTCCTATCAAATCCAATACCAAATTGCTGCTTGAAACTCTCCTCGCTGGATTTTTCTCTCATCTCTGGAGGGATTCTTCCTCAGCCGATGACTTGAGGATCTTTATTCTTTTTAATCCTAGTAATTTAAGAGCCTGCGTTGAGTCACTTTCAGCCACCTAGGACTATCCCTGTCTCTGGCTTCCAAACCGGGGAGCATCCCTCCTGACGAGGGTGCTTAAGCACATCCTTAAGTTTAAGGACACGCTTAAATCCGATCGACGTTGCCATGCTCAACTCCAGCGTGTTTTCCTGCCCCAGGGCTCCTGTGGGCAGTCCAAAGGGATTACACAAGCCAGCAAAGTTAAGCAGGCATGCAAGCGTCTGAAGGATCCGACCTTAGCGCGGGTGTCTTGCACAGTTCCAAGAAGAATTATTCTGATTGGAGCTCCCAGGCACTCACCCTTTGTGGCGAGGTCTACCAGCAACTTGGCAATGGTCAGGTGCTGAGACCAGGGAGCTGATAGCATCTGGGGCCCCTGGGCAAGGTGTGTGGGGGGGCCCAATTCCTTGCTCCTGGAAGGGGTGAAGCCTCCAGTGGAAGGGTCAGGGCCAAAGCAGCCAGACCTCTGTGAGTATGGTGCTCCCCTTCCAGCCCTCAGACCTGCGTGGAACGTGCCAGGCGGCACTCCGGTGGCAATTTAAAGGGCCTGCAGCTTTGAGTCACTAGGCCCTTAAGAAATTGCTCTATTTGTCCCCCCCACCACCAGGCCTGACTGAGACCACCACTTATGTTGGCCAGCCTCATCACGCTGCTGCCTTATAATCTTACTGTCACATAGAATCATAAAACACTAGACCTGCAAGGGACCTCGAGAGGTCATCGAGTCCAGTCCCCTGCCCTCACGGCAGGACCAAGCACCATCTAGAGCATCCCTGACAGATGTCTATCTAACCTGTTCTTCAATATCTCCAGTGATGGAGATTCCACAACCTCCCTAGTAAATTTATTTCCTCCTTGACAGTTAGAAAGTTTTTCCTAATGTCCAACCTCAAACTTCCGTTGCTGCAGTTTAAGCCCATTGCTCCTTGCTCTATCCTCAGAGGCCAAGGAGAACAATTTCCCCCCCTCTTCCCTGTGACACCCTTTTAGATACCTGAAAACCACTCTCATGTCACCTCTTTTCCAAACTAAACAAGCCCAATTCCTTCACCCTTGCCTAATAGCTCATGTTTTCTAGACCTTGAATCATTTTTATTGCTCTTTGCTGGACTTTCTCCAATTTCTCCACATCTTTCTTGAAATGTGATGCCCAGAAATGGACACAATACTCCAACTGAGGCCTAATCAGCACAGAGTAGAGCGGAAGAATGACTTGTGGGCTATGTCTACACTGGCATGAATTTCCGGAAATGCTTAAAACGGAATACTATTTCGTTTTCAGTTTCTCCGGAAAAGGAGCGTCTACATTGGCAGGCTGCTTTTCCGGAAAAGCCCTTTTTCCGGAAAAGCGTCTGTGGCCAATGTAGACGCGCTTTTCCGGAAAAGAGCTCCGATCGTCATTTTCGTGATCAGGGCTTTTTTCCGGAAAAGACTACTGGGCTGTCTACACTGGCCCTTTTCCGGAACAGTGTTCCGGAATAAGGACTTATGCCCAAGCGGGAGCAGAATAGTTTTTCTGGAATAGCGGCTGATTTTGCACAGTAGAGCATCGTTGCTTTTCCGGAAATTCAAGGGCCAGTGTAGACAGCTCGCAGCTTATTCCAGAAAAGCGGCTGATTTTCTGGAATAAGTGGCCCAGTGTAGACACAGCCCTCGTGTCTTGCTCACAACACTCCTGTTAATGCATCTCAGAATCAACGTTCCCTCACCAAGAATTTGACTACTGCGCACTTCCATGTGGCTGTCTTGTGTTCTCAGTATCCACCAGCTACCTTTCAACCCACACTCAGATTGCAAGCTTTTGTGGGCAGAGACCATCCATTTGTTATGTTTTTATACCCTGTACCGAGCTCAACAGGATCCCAGTCACTGAGGAGGCAGATAATAAATAGAAATAACCACTATGAATCACATTGTGTGATTTGATAAGGTTAAAGACCAAAAAAAGTGCCTCTTCCTCCCCATCTGAGTTGAAATCAGATTTCAGGATAGTGTGGGCAGGATTTTCCAAACTGCTCAGAGTTGGCCTCTTTCTACTACCACTGAAGTCAAAAGGAACTCAAGCTAGGCCAAGACTGAGTACTTGTGAAAATACCACATTGTTTTTCCTGACGACGAATCTGTGCTTGATGAGAGAGAATTGGAAATATGAACCTTGTACTTCACACGAATAAGTTGCTTCTGTCCCCATTTGCACTATAACGTGATTGAACAAGCAACACACTCCTAAAATACACACCCCACATCTTTTTCCCAGCATGCATTTCATCTATCCCAACACGCACTGGTCCAGCATAAACCGTTGAGTTCTTCAGGGACCAGCTCCATTTTGGTGTAAAGGGAGGATCTTGTGAGAAAGGAACATGTGACCATTTTGGGGGATATTGTCAAAAAACAGCAGAAGGATTCTAAGAGGTTGACACTCATCAGTGCTGGCAGGAGGATCCTGTCTTATGAAGGGGTGGTGCTACAAGACTACATACCTCATAAAGGTCAATGATGATGTTGCCCTCCAGTCCCCGGCTGCTCTTGACATTCTCCAAGGCCAGCGTGAAGTAGACCCCTCGGGTGTCGGATATATAAAGGTTGTACGTTTCGTTCTGGTTCCATTCCTGCACAGCTGCAAACACCTGATTCTCATCCGTGCTAATAATATGCATGTCCTATTAGTGGAAGACAAAAGGCCTATTATCGCGGATCTCTCTATTTCTTTGCCCTTTGGGACACATAGTAATTACCATGACTTATGAAAGAGTTGAGAAGGAGCATGAGTTATAGAAGACGTTAAACAATTTTCTGTTAGGCCAAGCCAATAAATTACCACTAACGTGAATTTGCTGGGATTTCTTTTTACAATGGCCACCGGGTGGGCTAGGGGGTTTCTGCAGTCCTCCTTCTCAGTAGCTTCAAGGAGTTCTATCTTGCTTCATTTTCTATTTATGAATTTGAAAGTCAATTTTATCACTCCTGAAAGATTTAAGAGCTGGGGTCTGAACTTGTCTTTTTGTCCACCGAGTACGGTACAGAAACACAAGCATATCTCAGTGCCCCTATATAAAACCATGGTATGCCCACATCATGAATACTGCATACAGATGTGGTCGCCTCATCTCAAAAAAGATATATCGGCATTGGGAAAGGTTCAGAAAAGGGCAACAAAAATTATAGGGGTTTGGAACGGGTCTCATATGAAGAGAGATTAAGAAGGCTGGGACTTTCTGGCTTAGAAAAGAGGAGACTAAGGGGGGATATGATAGAGGTCTATAAAGCCCTAAAAATATGTTAAATTCACTCTGGCCATGGACTGGTGAAGCAATGTAAATATGGTAAAAATGACCATATTTCCCTCTGCTGAATATGGGACAGCTAGTAAAATTACAAGTAAGTTCAGAGGCAATCAATCATGCAAACATTCCAATAAATAGCAAGTTGACGGAGCCCTGTTAAAAAGAAAGGCTGCGTAGCTGGATTCTTTTTATTTACCTTCTTCTCGTTAAGGATTTGGGTTCAAATGAGGAGTCATCACACACGCACACACACAAACACACACTCCCGTATATGTGTCTCACCTGGGAGGTGACTGATGACCCAAACCTTCCTGTGTGGCACTCTTTGCTGTCCATGCCTGGCTGGCCTCCCAGGCCAGGCCTGCTTCTCCTTGTACCTAGCACAGCATATTCCTGGGGCATATGCAGGGTCTCGTACCCTCTCTCCAGATTTCTGCAATGGTTCACACCAGAAGGTGGCCAACAGCAGCCTCTCGGCACCGTGCGGGAGGGAAGGGATGGGAGCAGCTTCCAGCTGCAGGGGAGGATTGGGGGGCAAGGGAGAAGAGTGAGCCGGCAGAGCTCACCTCTCCTCCCCTCTGACTCCGATATAGCTGGAAGCAGCTTCTCCCTTCCTGCCCACACGGTGTCAAAAGGTGGCTAACCTCTCCAGGCTCCTGGTGGCCACCAAGGGTGTGTCTAGACTACAGGGTTTTGTCGACAAAAGTGGACTTCTGTCGACAAAACTATACCTGCGTCTACACTGCCGCTAAGTTCTGTCAACATAACATCGACAGAACTTGGCAGTTTTGTCAAAGGCAGTAAACCTCATTCTGTGAGGAATAACGCCTTTTGTCGGCAGAGTTCTGTCGACAGAAGGCGTTATTGCATCTACACTGTCTTTTGTGTCTACAAAGCGGCTTGCTTTGTCGACAGAACTGGATGTAGTCTAGATGCTCTTTGTCAACAGAAGCTTTGTCGACAGTATCTGTCGACAAAACTTCTGCCGACAAAAGCCTGTAGTCTAGACGTACCCCAAGAATTAAGCCCTAAGGATGCCTTGTGCCCAGGGCCCAGGGAACCTGTGCACTCTTCAGGGAGCCCAGCTGGATTGGTGGGGCATGGGCTTGTTCAGACTCAGGAGGAGGAAGACATGGTGCAAATTCTCCACCCCTGCTGAGACGAGGCAGGTAGCTTCCTGCACCAGGACCGAGAGTGCTCTTCCAGCAAATGGCACAATGAAGAATCCTATTGCCATCTGAGGAGGCTACTCTCCTCTTTCTCGCTTTTCGTTGCAATTGGACGGCGTCAATGCCGATGGAAGGGCTGACAGGGCAATCCAGAAATGGCGCTGGTACAAGAACCACCAGCTCCTCCGACAGGCAGCCTTAGCATTCCAGTTGTAGGCATCTGGTGAGCAGTGACTTTGCCTTGCAGCACTTTTGTGTGCCCTGCGCATTCCAAGGGACAGATGATCTTAGACACCGTTTTGATTTTAGAGGGGTAGAGGGTGCTTCGGGAGTCCTTGCCCTGTGCCAGACACTGGTAAAATGGTCCACCCTACAAAGTGAAGGGCTGATTCCTCAGTTTGCACACACAGAACTTGCAGGAACTCACATGGATCTGCTGTAAACATACACAGTACTGTAGCCTTGGTAGCAAGCGCAATGACAACATGCAGGTACCCAGTGCTTTCAAGAACATTTGTAGTCACATAGGTGAGCCATGCCATTGCTAGCCTTCTTACCGTAGAGCCTGTCTGCTTTACACTCACGCTAGCTCTCAACAAGCTGCCACAATTGTGTGTGTGTGAGCTGGGGTATCGCAGCCCTACTTTGTAGGGTAGATATTGCTTAAGGTGCTCTAAACTGCACTAGATGGCTATGTTCCCCCACAGACAACACATCAGCTGGGGACTGCTGATGTTCATGGTATTCTGGCCTTTCCCTCTCCCCACTGCTCTTATATCATAGAGTCATAAAAATCAAATAAAGGCAGGGCTGGAAGGGACCTCCAGGGGTCATCTAGTCCCACCAGCCCATGCTGAGGAAGGGTCAAGTAGACCAAGACCATCCCTGACCGGTCTTTGTCAAGCCTTGTTCTTAACAACTTCTAATGATGGGCATTCCACTAGCTCCCAAGACAGCCCATCCCAGCCCTTAGATATTCTCAGGCTTTATCTACATTCCTTCTAATGATGGGCATTCCACTAGCTCCCAAGACAGCCCATCCCAGCCCTTAGATATTCTCAGGCTTTGTCTACATTCCAAGTTTTTGTGGCAGAAAATATGCTAATGAGGGACTCATTAGAATGAGTCACAACATCATTAGCATATTGTCTGCCAATTCTTTTGGTGCAAGGGGTTTTTGCGCTAAAAGAAGCAGTATAGCCACTTCCGTTTTGGGCGAAAAAAAACCCTTTTGTGCAAGATCCATCCAGTTCGAGCCAATTATAACCTGACCTCTCATAGTCAGAAAATATGCTAATGATGTCATGACTCATGCCGCAAAAACTTGCAGTGTAGACATAGCCTTAGAGTCAGAAAGTTTGTCCTAATATCTAACCTAAATTTCCCTTGCTGCAAAGTAAGCTGCTTACTTCTTCTACCTTCAGTGGACATGGAAAACAACTGGTCACCATCCTCTTTATAACCACCTCTTCCATATTAGAAGCCTAATTTCCCTCAGATTTCTCCCTTCAGGACTAAAAATGCCCAATTCTCTCAACCGTTCCTCATGATGTCATACTTTCTAAACCTCTTAGGCAGAGTATATACTAGATCCAGCCAGTTGGCTTAAAGTACACAAATCCAGCTACATAGAATACATAGCTTACCTTAAGCTGAAATTGGTGCCATGCCCACCAATGGGAGAAAATACTAGTCAGCTTCCCTTACTCCTAGCAAAAGCAGGAATATTGGATGCTGGCAGGGGCACCCTCTAAGTTTGATTTACTGAGTCTTAACTAGACTCGCTACATCAGACTCCGGAAAATCGATCGTGGCAGTGAAGACAAGGCCTTAGCTATAGACCATGAAGACACAAAGCTTCAGAAGGCATGTGCTGGAGGCAAAATGCCCACCTTAGAAGAACAAAGCAAGATCTGGGAGAGGTATTAGATGAGAGGTCAGGTTATAGTTGGCTTGAACTGGCACTTTATCATTGTCTGAGTACAGGTGATGAATTCCCTTCAATGTATTCTTCCCTGTCTTTGTAAGTGTCACAGAAAGGCAAAACAATGTTCCTACCCTGTTCCTTTGTTTCCCAGAGTCCCACAGTTCAATGTAAATGAGGGGCCAACACACCAGCACACTTTTTTGGGTCGATCCTCAGACCTTGAGTAACCTAAGTAGAAGCCAATTTCCTTGTAGTTCTTGTCTGGGTAATAAACATACCACAACCCCCCGGCTGCGCTGTTTAAGAAGCTGCACCTCTCAAGGCTATGCAGATAATAGGTTCATTTACCTTTGGTAGTGAGTATTTGGGCAATTTAATCTGTGCAAAGGGTTCCCTTTTGTACGACACATAGTAATTCGCTCTGCCGCCCGCCGTCACCTGTAAAAATGCAAAAGACAGATATTGAATGCCCCTTTGAAGACACACCACACCGATACTCCCTGGCAGGACTCAGTCACTTGTCTTTCAGACCAAAGATGCCTACTGGGGAAGCTCCAGCACCAGACGGCCTGAGATATAATTTATTAAAATCACATTATTCCAAGTTCCAGCTCGTTTCCCCAGACTTCAATTGTGAAGTCATTCTAGCAACTGCTGTGTTGCCAGCCATGGATGAGGGGCGGCAGAGTTTGATAGTGAAGGACTGGGACCAAGGAGATAATCCAAGTTCTCTGTCACAGACTCCCTGGGTGACCTAGGACATATTGCTTACTCTCTCTGTACCTCAGTTCCCCAAGTAAAGTGGAGGTTATCCTACCTCCTTCTCTTCTCTATTTGCACAGGAAGCTTTTTGAGACATGGCCTCTCTCTAAGGCTACGTTCCTTCTCTTCTCTATTTGCACAGGAAGCTTTTCGAGACATTACACTAGAAGCACCACAGTGGTGCAAGTGCACAAGGAAGCTGTGCCATGGCAGCGTTTCTGGTGAAAACACTACTGTACAGGAGGAGAGAGAGAGCTCTTCGGCCAGATTTACCCTGGAGACACTGTCGAACTAAGGTACACAACTGGAGTCGATGTATGTTAGTTCGAATTACTGTGGGGGGGTCGACGGGAGACCCCTTACTCTTCTCAATGTGGTAGAGTATGGAAGTCATTGGGGGTACGTCTAGACTACAGAGTTTTGTCGACAGAAGTTTTGTCAACAGATACTGTCAACAAAGCTTCAGTCGACAAAGAGCGTCTAGACTGCAGCCAGTTCTGTCGACAAAGCAAGCCACTTTGTCGACATAACAGTGTGGACACAAAGGACAGTGTAGATACAATAATGCCTTCTATCGACAGAACTCTGTCAACAAAAGGCGTTATTCCTCGTAGAATGAGGTTTACATACGTCAACAAAACTGCTGAGTTTTGTCGACGTTATGTCGACATAACTCAAAGGCAGTGTGGACACAGGTATAGTTTTGTCGAAAAAAGTCCGCTTTTGTCGACAAACCCTGTAGTCTAGACACACCCCGGGAGTGCAAACAGCAGTCAATTTACTCGGCCTTTACTAGACCGGCTAAATCGACCCCGGGGAGATTGATCCCCGCAGTGTTAATCTCCCAGTAAGTGTAGACAAGGCCTTATTGAGATAATTACTCCATCTCCCATGAGAGATGGTAGCTATGTTGGTGGGAAAAGCTCTCCTGCCCACATAGTGCTGTCTACACTAGCGTTAAGGTCAGTATCATTTACATTGTTTAGGAGAGTGAATTATTCAAACTCCTGAGCAAGGAAAGTTCTACCACAGTAAGTTCTAGTGTAGACTAGAAATGTAATAGTGTAGTCGATTAACCGATTATCTAATAAGCAAAAGCTTATTGGTTAATACTATAGGTGACATACATTTCCCTCCCTCCCATGCCCTGCCTGTAAATGTTTTAGCAGGTTGGCCAGCAGCCCAGCACAGTCCTGGCTTGTGATGGCACAGGGACCTATCCCTATTGCAGCTCTGCATTTAAAGTGTATTAGAAGCCGGGTGGGCAGGCAGCCAGGCTCAGTTTCAGCTCACATCATGTCTGGGAGCTCAGGCCCTCCCTGGATAGGGGCTGCGGCAACCCCGTGCTGCTGCCACTTTATCAGAGGCCGCAGAACAGGGCGAGAGGCACACGGTCCATGAGGGGAGCTGGTTTTTAAACTAGATCCCCTTTTAGACCAGCTCCTGCCTGGCTGGCGCCCCACGCTGCTGCCTCTGACACAGAGGCAGCAGCGCGGAGTGGCAGGGGCTCCTCAGGAGGGAGCTGGGGCACACTGGCTGCCAGCCCCACTCCCAGAGACTATAAAATAGTCAGCTAACAAATAAGAATTCATGAGGTTACTCGACTATTCAATTAACCAATAGTTAACATCCCTACTGCAGACAAGTCTTACTTGCCTAATGTGCAATCAGTAAGCGTGATGGCAGCACAAGGAGACCTAACTGAGCGAGCTTTGATCTAGGTAGAGCAAAGTTAGCTTGAGTAACAATAGCAGTGATGTCACAGCAGCAGGAGCGGTGGCTGCTAAGTATGTTCTGGGAGTTCTCAGCAGGCAGATCCGATCCAGGTAGTCAGCCTTCATCCACATCATCACTGCTCCCACTACTCGAGTTAACTCAGGCACGTGTACTTGTGTAGCAATCGCACCTCCTACAGCAGACATGCCCTGTGGGCCTGGGCAGTGCCTAGCAAAACAACTCCTTGATCTTGGCTGCCATGCAGCCTGAGGGTTCGACTGTCAGACCAATCATCAGCGAGACACATGAATTCTTTTCCCATCTGAAAAATGGGTTCACAGCCCTCAGCTGCTTTATTTAGTGAAAACAGCAGTTTCTCAGAAATCACATTGCCTTTGCAATAAGGCGGAGGAAGAGAAGAAAGTAAGCGGAAGGATGTTATCTCAAGGACAGGAAGCTCACTGCCTCTAAAGGTTAAGTATAAATGCTATATATCCTGATAGGGAGTGAGATTCTCATCTTCCCAATGATCATAGAATCATAGGACAGCAGGCGACCCCGGGAGGCCACTGAATCTAGCCCCCTGCCGAAAGCAGAACCAACCCCAAGGCTGCTCTCAAATCCCCCCTCACTCTTCTCTTCTGCAGAATAAATAAGCCCAATTCCCTCAGCCTCTCCCCATTAGTCATGTGCTCCAGCCCCCTCATCATTTTTGTTGCCCTCTACTGGACTTTCTCCAATGTGTCCACATCTTTTCTGTAGTGGGGGGCCCAGAACTGGACACAATACTCCAGATGTGGTCTCACCAGTGCCGAGTAAAGGGGAATAATCACTTCGCTAGGTCTGCTAGCAATGGTCCTTCGAATGCACCCCAATATGCCATTAGGCTTCTTGGCTACAAGGGCACACTTGATCCTTATCCTGCTTCTCATCCACTTTACTCCCCAGGTCGTTGAATTTATTCCTATCCCTGATCCTTAGTGAGCTACTGGATTTTACACTGTGACTAGTCACTCGGTCTTCCAGTGAAGGACCTTTTTGGCACTGGTTCAGGGCTGACAATACCACATCTCAGACTGGGGCGATTTTCATTCTCTGATGCTTTAGCAAGAGTGCACACTTTTTAGATAATATAATATACAACGCTCCTTTTATTACACAAAATGTAATCTGCAGGCTTTTGAAGTTCCCAGTAAGCAAACAGAAAGGACATAGCTTCTCCCACAGGTACCATTTCTCTTTATGTCTAGCGGTGGTATTTCAGAATGGGCTTATACAGCACATTGTTAGAGTATCAATTACAATCTCTGCAATGGTATTTTCTACGCATGGTGGCATTATTCCCTAGAGACGCTGTCCCTCCACGGTTCATGTTTGCATCATGCATCATGAATTTGTTATCCAATCACTGCAGGATGAGGCTTTTCCACTGACGACTTCAGAGAAGAAACAGTTTGGAAATGCAGTGAAACCTGGCTAAGTAGAATTCCCCCTTGTAAATGTTTGTTGTTATTACTAATAATAGTCTAGTACCGAGTGGCCCCAACCGAGATAAAAAAGTGACCATTGTGCAAACACACAGTGAGAAATAGGGCCTTCCCTGAAAAACTCACAGTCTAGACAGACAAGACACAGAAAAGATGGCAGAGTAAACAGAGAGAGTGCAGTAAAGTGACACGGGCCCTGGTGAACCTCAGTGTCAACTATTCTCAGCCTGGAGCATTTGTGAGTTGAACCTGCTGGGGTCTGTAATGCGTTGGTCTAATTCTGTCTCTCAGGGTTGGTCTGGGGAGGAGTGGCTGGTTTTTAATGACCTGGGATATACAGAAGGTCAGGCTCCACAGTCATAGAATCCTAGGGCTGGAAGAGACGTCAGGAGGTCATCAAGTCCAGCCCCCTGCCCAAGGCAGGACCAATCCCAACTAAACTAACCCAGCCAGGGCTTTGTCAAGCCAAGACTTAAACATCTCTAGGGATGGAGATTCCACCACCTCCCTAGGGAACCCATCCCAGTGCTTCACTACCAGTCTGGTCCCTTCTGGTGGTAAACTCTGTCAATTCCCCAAGGTCACATGGACTGTCATTAGCAGAACTGATCATTCAAGATAAACTCAGACATGGCCAAAGGAGATTGCCAGGCCATAATTACCTGGTGAGATGATGGTGCAAGCACTGTGAGGGTTATTTCTGGAGGACACCTTTACCATCTGGCTGTCACCCCAGCGCAAGGACTATCCTGGAGAAAGCAGGGTGGATGGCACTCAACTCTCATTCCAAGTTGTGACCTATACTCTCAGATCCTCTTGTCCCAGCTACATAGAGCCAGGCTAGCACAGTAAGGCTCATCATTCTTCAGGCCACAGTAGACTTTCTCCTCCTTTCCTTCCTCAGGCTGTTGCCTTCTATCACAGGAGTCAGCATAGGTCCACGGAAGCAAATCAGGTTACACCAGCTGAGGGTCCAGCCTAGGATTACTACACCAGATAGTTGCCGACGTGCAGAGAAAAATGGGAATGGATACCCCCAGCAACAGGGGGACTGCCATTCCCAGCTGTGTAGACTGACTGAGATGCCATATGAGCAAGTCATTAAAGTGACTTTGAAATAAGGATTTAACTGCACATCCTCTAATGTGATCTGTGCCATCAAATGCCAGCAATGCCCCACTGCCATGCATATTGGCCAAACTGGGCAGTCTCTACGGAAAAGAATTAATGGACACAAATCAGATATCCGAAAAGGCAACACACAGAAATCTGTTGGAGAACACTTTAAGCTGCCCGGGCACTCATTAATAGATCTCAAAGTCACCATATTGTTGCAGGCCAATTCCACAAGCCAAATACACAGAGAAGCCCTGGAATCCCAGTTCATCCACAAATTCAATTCACATGCTAATGGACTCAATTGTGATATGGGCTGGTGGGGACTCTACGTCCTTAATAACCACTGAAGGTGCT